ATTGCTACAATGTTCGCCCACATCCAATTGTTGCACCCCAAATCAATCAATTATGGATGTGACCAAACTTAACTATAGCAACAACTTTTCCTCTTTTCTCTCTCTCTCTCTCTCTTTCTCTCGATGTACATGCAACATTTCCTGCGATAATTTTGTTGATTTTGTTGTTCTGCTTCTTCCTCTATTACTTGAGCTTTCATTCATTATGATTCATATTTTCATTAAGTTGTTGGAAAAGTGCAACTTTTTGTAATATTTCAATTCTGCTTTCATCGCTCGCTTCCCATAGAGATTTGATTTGTGCTGAATCCTTAGGGAATTAACAGTTAGTGGCATTTCCTTAGAGTAAAGCTTAAGAATTATATGCAAATATTTTTATTGTGCAGTAAATAAGCAAATACAGGCTTACTTAAATAAATGAGAATTGCATAGAAGGGTGATTATTTTATTTCTTTGTTTATTTGTGGTGTAAGCTAAGAAGTTTCATATAAATATGATGCATAAATACGTGAGGAGTATGTGAAATTGCCAAACTTAATGATGGCTAAAATGAAAGAAGCTTAAAAAAGATTTTTAAAAATTATTAAATATAAATTTTAATATGAAATATTAGAAATACATGCATATATGCCTACCTGTATAAATATATACATTTATATAAATACATACATATACATACTTATTCATACATATACATAGATATACATACCTATACATACATATACATAATTTCTTACGTTAAAATATACAAATATGAAATATTCTGTGCCTCATCCCCAAACGTTTTACTGGCTGCAGCTTATTCATATAGGCAGAACCTCGCTAAATTCGTATATATTTGATTGGGAAGCAGAATGCTTGAAGTATGTAGTGTGTTCCTTAGAAAGATTTGTCTGATTTTTATACCCGATTCACTTCTGCTTCTGTCTTTGTTTTCATTTAATATTTCATTGTATCTTTTTCCTCGAATGTTCCTCTCTGTTTCAAGGGCTGTCGTAAGCTTCTTAACGTGTATTTGTGTGCTGGGTAATTGCTTTAAAGCGTATTCAATGAGCGAAAAGTATGCAATGCAGTTTCAGTTCCGCTTTGGCTTCCCTTTGTTGCGTTACGCATCCGCCACGTGCACAGCCGAAAAAGATACAAGAAGACAGTTGCTACGCTCGTGACAGGCAAAGCAGAAATGTCATGTGGCTTGGGAATTGGGCAAATGGGCATAAGGGCAAAAGGGTAGCTCGTCTGCAATATGCAGAATGCAGAATACGGAATACAGAGTACGGCATACGGCATACTGCATACGGCATACGGAATGCATATGCCAGCTGACATAACATGTAACTCATGCCCCATTTGTCAACTACGGCAGCGACATGTGAAAACCATTTGCAGCTTTGCTGCTTGCTGCTGTTGGCATCACTCTCTTATTGCTGTCTCTTTCGCTGCTCGCATCGCTATCTCTTTTCGGCTGTCTCCTGTGCGCCGCTGTAACAAAAGATGAGTTGCACTTGAGCATGCTAAAATGCGTTATTAAGTGCATAAATATGCAATGCGCACAACCCTCACACAATGGGGCTCAGGTGAACGGGCCAGGACAGGTGCAAGGGGGCAGCGGAGCTTTTGCAAATGTGCGAAGAGCTTTTGAAATTTAATAAAATGCAAATGCAAAGGCAAAGCCTGTGAAACAGACATATGCAATTCAAAACTTGCACAGACATGTGCTTAGACCTCAGCACCCACCTCCACCCACGCTTTGAACCCAATGACCTCTACCCACCTCTCACTCGCTCTCGGCACGCTAATGAGTCGTTCCACCCGTCGCCATTCATTCCCTCTTGCCTTTAGCCTCGTCACAAAGGTAGCGAAACGACAATGAATTATGCAGCATGCCCAAGGATCAAGAAAGGATGCACTGAAGCGGCTGCCCCCAAAACAAATTGCGGTAATGGCAAATACATGTACACTAAAACACAGACAGACACACTCAACCAACACACACACACGCACACATTTACGAGATTTAATTATTTTAAATGCAAATTGTGCAAATAAACTAAACGAAGCAAAAATTAAGAAAAAAATCAATAATTACAACTTTTTGGCCGTGCTTGAAAAAGGATCAAAAGGTAAGCACGTGCACAATGCTAGCGGGCAGGTAGACACTCATATAAACCACTCACACACACACACACACCCACACATGTCAGTTGTCATCGTCACGAAACACATAAATAAGTTGCCTTTGGCTTTGAGCAAAAGATAAAGGCAACAAAAAAAATAAACAAGGGACGTGCCCAAGCCCTAGACACTCTGCAGTCAGTCATAGCCGAGCCCAAGGGCTTTACCTTTAAAGCTGAGTATCCAAAAACTTGAATACTTAGAAATTGGAATTGTAATATGAAAACAAATAAGAAATAAGAAATGTGATCGCAGTCTTCGTTTTTATATGGAAACTAGCTAAATTTCTAGCTCAGTTCTTACTTTAAGCTCACATAACTTTGATTAAAACTAAATCGATTTACATAGTCTACATAATAAAAAGATATGAAGATTAATTTATAGCTTAAGATTCTGCATTTAAATTCATTTGAAGCTTAAGTTCAAAGTTTTCTTCTGACTTCTTTTCTTTCTTTTTTTTATATTAATTTTTTGTGTCAAAATTAAACAAAATATAAACATTTCAAAGACGCTAATGCTTACCTTAAGCTTATATAGCTTTATAAAAACTAATTAATTTGATCAACTTTTTTTCATTTGCTTTAAGGTGCGCCATCTAAATTGATGCTGCATCTAGAGTTTTATTAAATATTTTAAATATATATATTATATGTCTAAAGAATATCTAACTACGACATCGTTGTCATGTCTAGGCCATATAAAGAGGAAAAAGTATGTTGCAATCGGACATGACCGACTGCATAATACTCGTGCGTAATACTTTCTGTATTTTTATACAATCTCAAGAGATAGTTTGCAGTAACTGAGCTGTAAGTCCATAGAGAAGGACAACAGCATCTAGCTCTGAAAACTTTAAAAGATATAGGTTTTATCGATTTACCACGCCTTATATAGGCGTTAATATATGCTATATACTTTAGGTCTTGGCTTATCCATATATAATATATATATTCTCTATTTCAAGTCCTTGGAACCTTAGGTAAAGCAATTATGTTATGCGAGATATAGCTTCCAGGAATAAACCTTAACATTTATAGATCGCAAGTGCCCCGCTTCAGGTATTTAGCTTCAATATGGATAGACGAACATGCAGCAAGACGAACAGTTCACGAAGCCCATCTACTCTCTTCGCTGCGTGAACGAGTATGAAAAGACAACACACACCCCTTTTTTTAATATGTTCAAGCATCAGAACCTTCGAGCAGCTCAAGTTGTCTGCCCTTAGACCTTGGTTCACGGTTCTCAGCTGTCGACTGTCGTCTGTCGGCGGCGAGCCAAGCCTTTTACACTTGGCCCAAGTGGCAAAATGTTGTTACGTGCGCATTAAACCATATTTTAAGTTATTAAGTTATTGACAAAAGCACACGTCACCCCTTGCTTGGGGCGGGCGAGGGGCTTGGGGCGCCCATAACTGGCAGTTGTGTTGCCAGGCCTGACGGCTGTAGGCGTGGCTGTGGATGACACTTGTGCGCTGCTTATCCGTTGTTGTTTACAATGCCAATGCCACGCCTTATAGCCGCACACACACGCTCACACAGCCATAAAGGCTGTATTATATATGTCTGTACATAAAAAAATAACTGTAAGCGCGCACGCATAAAAAGAAATTTTCAATTTGGCCCAAGCTGCCGCCAAAGGCTGCCTGCAGCCGCGCCCCGTCCCACTCCTAGCCTTTTTCATGTGTGTATGTCCCGAAATTTTCTCTCAATATTTTTCGTCTGCTGCACAAATTTGTTAACTTTTTATAAATTTTGCGCTTTGAATTAAACATAAATGTTGCTATATGTTCGTCCCTCTAGACACAGCGTCTGTTGGCCACGTATGGCTTGGACATTTGTATTTGGCTTTTTGTCTGCACACATATTATCTGCGTTTTATTACCTTTGTTGCCAGGTGCTGCAGGTATCCAAGTTCAGTTGATGGCTCATTGAACACAGCTCGTGACTTGGGCAATTGCTTTCATTCTTTCAATTTCAACAGTTACTTATGTATATACTATAGCTTATTGGGTTAAGATAAAGGATTGGGATTTCCAATTTCAAGACTAAAACTTTCATAGATTCATCAAAAGTGAACAAATTCTTATGTTTTCTTTAAATTGATTTTTCGAAACTTATTTAAATATAAAGATATATCTATTATTGCTGCGCTGTTCGCCTGCAAATGGCAGGAAACAAAGCGCATAACATACAGTTTTTTGGACATGTTTTAGAGCAGAGCAATATGCTGGTGGGGAGAGGTAGGGCTGCTGGGGCAGGGGGTTTGCTGAAATAGTTATGTGAAGGCATCTGCGATTGCCCTGTGGTCGTCGCACTGGACATGATGGCCTTCAGAGTACCAACAGCAGCAGCAGCAGCATCAGCAGCAGCAGTTAATTTTCTATACAGCCAAAGAGAAATAAGATGAGGTTTTAGAACTTTTTACAGCATGTAAGTGAAAGGCGGGTAGGCGGGGAGCGAAGAGCGTGGAGAAGTCAGGGTACAAGCAAATAAACAGTTGCCTGAGCTGGACAACTGCTAAAGAAAAAGAAATGTGTGTGTGTGTGTGTGTGTGTGTGTAAGTGTGTTGTGTACATACGTCAGCAGACTTTTTTCACTTCTTCCATTTCCTTTTGTTTGCGCTGCCAAATCAACCACCGTCGTCGTCGTTGTCGGCGTCGCGGTCGCAGCTGGCGTCGCAGTCGCTGTCGACGCAGATAATTTACTGAGTTAGAGAGAGCGAGAGAGTTCGAGTTAAGAGCGCGTTGCGGGGTTGAAGCGAGTGCCATGACCTACTTTTGCGGCAACTTTTTCAATTTGTTTGTCATCGAGTGACTCTGTACATGTATGTGTGTGTCTGTCAGACTGTTAACTTGGCTTAAGCCAATTGCCTTTATTTGATAAAATATTACAATATTTGCAAATGTGTGCACCTAAACGCTACTAATTTAAAGCTTTTACAATCGTTTTAACTAACTAACATTTGGCCCTCGAGCAAGATCTATGACTATGCGACAGCAAAGAGCATTAAGCCCAACATCGCATAGAGCCGTTGTGGCAATGCCCGTTGCTGTTCGAGCACAGCATTTGCAATGCTCGCCTCGGGCACATGATCGGGCATCATGTCCTCGGGTCGTATGGGCGCCACAACGCCGTCCTCTTCGGAATCATCGTCTAAATCATCTTCGAGTGGTGCGCGCGTAGTTTTGCTACCCGTCAACAACAACAGCTGCATACGCTGCAACGGCGTCAGCGGAGCCGTACGTTCCACTTCTTGATTTTGGGGCTCCAGGAAGGGCTTGTAATTAGCCGGCGGAGTATCCACGCCTCGATAGCCATAGACAAACATTTGCACAAACAGCGAGCTGATGTTAAAGTCTGTTATGGTTGCCTTGATCGTGCCCGCAGAATAATGACTGTACTCGGCAACGGGTGGCATATAGTTCTCGGCTGTAGCGACCTTATCAACATAGTGCTAAGGATTAGAAAGTCGGAAGATTAGCTTAGAAGTATCGCGTTAGTCGTTAGTCCCACTCACGTCGAAGACAACAAACTTGATGTAGGTGATAAAATCGCTGTCGATGTAGTAGAAAATGACGGTGTGATTCGCTTGCTCTTTGGAATCGCCCGATGATGTTTGATATGTTTCAAAGATCAAATCGTCACCTGTGCAAGTGAGGAAAATGTTAGTATATATAATATAAAATATAATATTATAATATTAATGTAGTTTAGCTTAACCTACAACATATGCTCAAAAATATGGAACTGACTATCGATAATTATCGATTTAAATAGAAAAAAGGAAATGAAACGAAATTTAATCAATGAAATGAACTAAAAACTATTTTAAAACTAATTTAGGGAAACAAATAATTGAAACCGGATACTTAACTATAGTAAAGATACTTAATTATAGTAATAGAGCTATCGATAACTTCTAAGATTGATCTATGTATGTTACATTTCTTATAGTTACTTATATAAATTAGACAGTGAAATATAATTGAACTGTCAGAATTGAGACAAAATATTTAGCTATAGCTGAACACAGTAGCGTTTATCGATAACTATAAAAATTAAGCTGTGTTCGAGGCAATTCTTATAATATCTGATAGATCTATAGCTAGTCTACAGTTCTAATTCTTAATGTGGAATACTAATCGACATTGGTAAAGAGAAAATGTTATCGATAACTTAAAAAATCGTCATAAGCTGTTCTAATAACCAGGCACAGAGATATCGTAATCCGCTTAGTTACCTGGTTGCCGTTGTCCAATCTCAATGATCTTGTCCTTGTGCTCAAAGTCAGCGAAAGAGACGGGCGCATCGGTGTGTTCCTCGTCAAACTCTGAGGTCACTTTACCCTCATGGTCGACGTTGTCATACGGCTGACTCACTTCCTCGATCTCCTCGTAGTCATCGTAGGGCTTCACTTCGCCCTCAAAGTGTGAGTCGCGATTGAGCAGCAATGCGGGATTCAAATTCAAAACGGTCTGGTTAAAGCCAAAGATTGTGATGACCACATCAAAGGACGCTGAAAGATTTTGGCTGGGCTCGAGATCTTCCTCGAATTCGCTTTGATTGCCGGGTGCCACCAGGCTAACGAGGCCCACTATTAGTGTGTCCACATAGCTCACTTTCACCTCGGCCGAAATGTTCTGCGAATCAAAAAAATTTGATTTAATTTGATCGAAAACAGATCACTCTTTAAGCATCTGCAAATATCTTTCAATTAGCCATCGACCTCACTGGGTATTCGATCAAGCGTAAACCAAACACAATTTTTACCACACCTCGTCGATGAAAAACGCAACGTGCCACTTTCGAGGGAATCTGCTATATATTATTTTCCACATCTATGTATATATATAATTTTCTTGCGAAATCTCACGTCATAAGAGCCTCATTTCATTATTGAAAATACATTTTAAATTTGAAATAATTCCCCTCCACACCCCAGGGAATTTGCCCAATGGCTGGCTAAGTAGCCGCGCCAAAGTGCCAAATTTGCAGTTGATTTGACATATGTACTAGACGACTATATACTTGTAAAATACGCTAACATGAGGTATGCATTAGTTTGCATGGCAAATGTAACGCTGTATAGAAGTTGCATGCTTGAGAGGTATTTATAATTGTTCATTGATTATGCCATATAGACATCACTTAATTTGTTATTATAAGTTTTATATCTTCATGGTAAAGTTCATGGCAACTTGACATATTTTAAATATGACATTTTTGCACGGTTAAAAGTAATAAGGGAATTTACAGTCTAACCTAAGTTGTCTACTGAACTTATATAAAATCATTATATAAAAATCATATTAAAGCTGATTGCATATAGATGACTTGAATAAGGCTGATCAAAGCCCAACATTAACGCAAATCTAGTCATAAATTTGAATGTCTATTTTTCTGCAAATCTTCATGTTAAAGTTCATTGCAACTTCTTGATACATGTATAAATTTTCATTGAATATGTTTCAATTGATATTAGACATTTTTGGACAAATTTACAGCCTTTTGACTCAGTGTCTAGTCTCAGTTTGTTGTCAAATTCAAAATTTGAAAAATCTACATCATGAAAATTCAATTATATTGAAAATATGTGAAATAAGGTAACTTTAATTATTATTTAGAAATTAGTAATTGAATTTTGTCTAGAATTGTAAATGTTTTTATTGTGTTTAGATTCATTAGAATCGTTCTGTAACGTTGATTCAATTTTAAATCAGTGGGAAAGTTTTTATAGCTACATCTGGCAACGACAACTGCTTTATATAAGCCATTTAGACTTTAAACAATTTTTATGCGATTTTTCAGTTTACTTATTTTGGTTTTTTTTTTTAATTAGCCCGGCACGTTTGGCATAGCTCGAACTAATAATCCAACTTGTTTCTAAAGCAATCAAATTGGCCAAACCAAAATGTTATGCCAAACATTGGGTCGCGAGAACTAAATATATAAATAAATACATATCTATATGGTGTGCTCGCTATTTGTTGTCGTTTAGATAATTTGTTTTTGGCTTAGTTCTTTTCTCTCTTTCCCGCACTGGGCATAGTGCGGGAAAAACAGCAAAAAAATATAGTTCGTTTTCTATTTTAGGCTGGGCAAATGCAAAAATAAAAAAAAATAAAACAGAAAATTAGAAAAAATTTAGAGTTGTCGACTAGGAAATACCCTGCATTTTTTTTCATTTGTGACTAGTTTTTGTGGGCCCAAACTTGAAATTTTAAGCTATTGAAGCTCTTGAACTATGCTCAACAGAATTTATCATAGAATTCGCCAACTTTTGATATATGAGAATAGAAATATTCGAAATTAAGAAACTTTTAGCTCTTCAGGGTTTTGCTTTGCATCATATATACTCTATGCCACATGTATATACCCAATCTTAAATTTGATTTTAATTTACAATAAAGAATTATATATACTATATATATAAAATATAAATGCGATAATATATATTTTGAAATTTTGAATCTTTAGCTCTTTTTCGCATATAATTCGATGTTAATTTATGACTTCAGGCATGTGCTTACTGTATAATGTATGAATATAGTATATCAAGTCTCTATTTTGAGGCTGTTTATATTGGGGTAATAGCTGTAGATAGATTTATTCGGGTCGGATATGTGAAATGGGTAATTCAGTAATGTAGATGTTCGTTTGGGGAAGGTATTGCAATAGAAACCTTTGATATATATCACAAAAAGTTAAGTTTCTTAGCGATATTTATCGATTTCATCGAAGAATCTATCGATGATCGGAAAACCCTAATCTGCGCTTGCTATAGTTCTGTCTTAGTGTACAATTTGAAGTCTCAAACTGTTGTACAAACAACGCTACAATTCTAAAACAATTAATCAAGCACATATATAGAGACTAAATTGAAGAGTTCACACCTCCTGCTACCTGTTCCGTACGCTTTCACATAAGCATTACACCCAAAATTGTCATCTAATGGGCTCAGGGTATATACATTTCAAGCCGACTCGTCTATATAAAGCGTTGCGACTAGGTCGACCTGTCATCTGAAGAGAAATGTGGCTCGACTGTTTTTGATTCACTCCTATATAGACCCAACTAATATGCCCTATCTGCACCTATTCCATTTGTTTATTGATTATCTCAAAAACTCACTTCTTCCGAAACAATCTCAATGTAGGTGATGGGCTCCGCAATGTTGTAGTTGAAGGCAACGCTAGCCGCTTGGCCTGCGCCCGCAGGACGCGAATGCTGCAAATCCTTGAGCAACAGCTGATCCTCTCCAATGCGCTGGCCCACGCCAAAGTAACGTTTGGCGTGAACCTCACTCTGGGCCAACGCGATCAGTAGGAGCAAAATAATTCCGCGATACATATTCAAACTGAATTGTTATACAAAATTTGTTGGCTAAGTGTTAAGAACAACTGGGAGCAGGAGGCACATGCTCCACCTATAAATCGAAAAATTGTTCTTAGAACGCGCCGCGGCAAACGAAGACGTGCAACTGATTTCAAAGATTTGCTATGAGTGGCAATTGACTGCCTCAAGTGTTGACTGATCTACAGAGAGGAAGAGAGAGAGAGAGGAGAGAGAGAGAGAGATGGAACGCGAGAGCACATGCGCAGATCTTAGACAAGAGAGATAGAGAGTGAGGGCGAGCTCGATGTGCCCTGTTCTCCTATATTATATGAAATTTCTCATTCTCTCTTCATGCACTTTTCTCTTGTCTTAGCTGAATTTTTGTGGTAAGCAGTCAACGCATGTACTTGACCCCAAAATTGGTTGTTGCTGTTGTTGGGCAAGCAGCAAATCAGCCGCCCACCAAAATCTTGTCCATGCGACTCCCAAAAATAGAATCGCGCTGACCAACAACCTTTCTGCATTGCGTTTAAATCTGTCACACATTCATTTATATATATAGATGTGTTCTAAAGATAGATACAAATTAGCATGTAGCATAAAAATATATATATTTGTATATATTTTTAGCTTAGCTAAGGATTAGAGTGTTTATGCTTTGGCTTAGGCTAAGAACTGTTCCAGTATAGCATTCGCTCGCTAAGAAGAAGAAGAAATGGTAATTGCAATGTTGTATATTATATATTAAAGAAGATATATATATATATAGATATATATAGCAAGAACTCAGACGTTTTGTAAACGAAAGTTAATGCTTATCGACTTGCCATAGTTTATCGATCTTTATGTAGAGTAGCTCTACAGTGATCAATGTGCCAAACTTGCTGTTAGATATAGCATTTCTATAAGATAAAGTCAAGTTTACTGTTCAACTCACGCAAAAGCTGTGCCTCATATACAGATCATATTCCTAGCAGATCATATATTGAACAGTAGCACAGGGGCTGGCGGAAACAAGGTTGTTGAAGCGCGACTAGCTCGCTGTCCTTCGCTCAGACTGCGGACCATGCACTTGCCCTTCGCTTATGGTTGGCTGAAAGCGTTAAGCTCCTAAACATCCTTAGAGGGGATCAGCAAATATTGTTAGCAAATATTGTTAAGCAGTATTTCCCTCACAAAGTAAAAGTATAATTGAGGCTAAAAGTCTAGCATAAATAGTTTCTAAACTAATGGAGTTTATTTAATAAGAGTTACAGCACTACCCAATTTACCATGTCTACAATGGGCATAGACAAAAAGGACATCAATTTTAAGAAGACAGAGTTAGATTCTATATCTAGGATATATTCCACATTAAAAGTCTATAGCTTCAATATACTCTTTATATTAAATTTTATTAAAGAATATCTTTAATTGAAATGATATTTACGATAAGTGCAGACCACAGCAAGCTCTTAAAAAGCATTAAATAATTATGAAGCGCAGCATTAATTGAATTGCGCATACGCCACGTGCAACCAAAATGTTTTTATCATAAACATATATTTAATTGTGCTACAAAATACTTTTAATTGATTTATTTGTGTGTTGGGACTTTATGCAGTTTAGTGAAATTATGCCGCTGAGCCTTATTAAGGCCGCTGCGAATTGCAATTATTGCGAAACAGAGAGAGGGAGGCAGAGAGTTGAAGAGAGCGAGACAGACGAATAGTCGAGCTATTTGTATTGAAAATTGCATTAAATTAATTAAAAGTTTGTGTGTGCGTAGCTCTTGAAGTGGAGCATGATGAACTGGCACAGCCGCAATTTATGGCACAAGCAACAAGCGGCAGCAAAATGCAGTATGCTGCATGTAGCGAGCAGCATGCAACATGCCGCAACAAAAACAATTTTTGTGGCCAAATGAGAAAATCTTTATGGGCGCAGTTTATTTTTTAACCCAGCTGCTCTGGGGACAAGGCAGAAATCGGAAACTGTTGTCACTGCAATCAAAGCAAATTTCCGCATTGAGCAACTTCAATGTGGCAGCCAACAAGTTGCAAGTGGCTAGTGGCTAGTGGCAACTGGCAAGTGGCAAGTAGCATTAAGTACACAGTTGATGACTTTCAGTTGTGTCGCCGCTGCCTGTTTATGAAATTCAATTAAAGCGTTTATGAAAATTGCATTAAAAGCTGTCAATAGCAAGGCATAAACTTGCCCCAGACACAAGGCTAAAGCAACGGCCGCACTGCAAGTATAAAGTGATTGATTAGCTCGACGCTGCAAATGATTTTTATTTTAGTTTTTCTATTTAACTTGTTCACATAGTGGAAAGAGTGTATTGAGTATAGGCCAAGATGTTGTCCACTTTTTAAGTTAAGCACTTGAGATTGGAAATATATTTTAGTGTGGAGCCTCGTCTGATAAAGTTAGAGCGAGAAGCTAGATGCATGAAAAATATCCTTGTGCATATAAAGAGCAAATCAAATTGCCAAGCTATAACTTTTAATGGTCCTTTCCTCAAACTTATACAGTTTGAGTCGTAGATTTTGTTAAGTAAATGACTGACTACAGACAATTTCGAGCTAAAGTTGTCTACTCACGCCTCTTAAGTCCTTTTTGAGTAAATGTATACAATGGGCAGAAGGACTCTTGGCAGATCCCTTAAATTATAAACATTCTAGATCAGAGCGAAGAGCTGAGTGGATCTAGCCATGTCCACCGGGACAACTGTCTATTTGTATGAACGCATCGATCTCATACGCCACAGACCTGGGGACCTGACATTTTTAAGGAATATACTATGTTCTATATTCTCTGCCTTTTTCGAAACTCATACCACTTCTATATCGATAATTATCGATACCGTAAAATATAAATATTTCAATATTTTAAGCTGCAGATTCCTGTGAGGGCAGCTTTTAATATTTTTTAATATTTTTAATATTTTTAATATTTTTAATATTTTAATATTTTATAAAATTAAATTTGTAAATTGAACGAGTATTATGCTGTCCCTTATGGCCGCCCGACTTCCATATTTTTACTTGTTTTCATTTGCATTTTTATTCGAAATGCTTCAGTTGAAGCGCATGTTCTTAATTGTCCTAAATAAGTTCGTGTTTAAATGCCGAAATTGTGTTTTGCTTTTAATTCTTTTTTCGTTAAATTTTTTGTTTTATTTATTGCCCGAGTGCACTTTAGTTGCGTTTATTAAACATTGAAAAGCACTAAATTCAAAAATTGCATCTTTCTTGCCCGGCAATAATATAGTCATAAAATATCCATCAAAACATCGGCGCATATGAGTGACTGTATCAAAAGACTTGTGGAAATGTATTTAACTCAAGTGTTGCTCGAATACCCTGTGTGCCAAGAAATGGGGTAGTTTGATTAAAAGTGTAAGATATGAGGTAGAAGATAGATAGATGGAACACATAAGGTGGAAGATGAAAGATGGAAGATGGAAGATGGAAGATGGAAGATGGAAGATGGAAGATGGAAGATGGAAGATGGAAGATGGAAGATGAAAGATGAAAGATGAAAGATGAAAGATGAAAGATGAAAGATGAAAGATGAAAGATGAAAGATGAAAGATGAAAGATGAAAGATGAGAGATGAAAGATGAAAGATGAAAGATGAAAGATGAAAGATGAAAGATGGAAGATGGAAGATGGAAGGTGAATGATGAAAGATGAAGGATGAAAGATGAAGGATGAAAGATGGAGAAGATGAAAGATGAAAGATGAAAGACGGAAGACGGAAGATGGAAAATGGAAGATGAAAGATGGAAGATGAAAGATGAAAGATGAAAGATAAAGATAAAAGATAAAAGATAAAAGATAAAAGATAAAAGATAAAAGATAAAAGATAAAAGATAAAAGATAAAAGATAAAAGATAAAAGATAAAAGATAAAAGATAAAAGATAAAAGATAAAAGATAAAAGATAAAGATAAAAGATAAAAGATAAAAGATTAAAGATTAAAGATTAAAGATTAAAGATTAAAGATTAAAGATTAAAGATTAAAGATTAAAGATTAAAGATTAAAGATGAAAAATGAAAGATGAAAAATGCAAAATGAAAGATGAAAGATGAAAGTTGGAAGATAAAACAACTTATTTTCATCATAAGCATAAAGAAAGTCTGAGTTGTTTATCATTTTCAAGAACTTACCTAAACAGATCTTTCGCGTATTCCCAATGTATTTTTTTGATTGGTCTATGTATGCTTGGAATATATTATTTTTTTTGGAAACATCAGGGAATATAACTTACAATTAGCCCCTCCTAAATGTATAGAGTTGGAGTAGCCCTCATCATATAGGGCATCTCCTCGTTGAGCAGTCTGCCAGAGCAGCTGCCGCCTAATTGTTTCAGTCTCAAGTGTTTATATGTGAAATAAATGCAGATATATATTTATATATTTGTAGATAAAGTATGTGGTAGAGCTCGCTGTTGGCCAGACGCTGACTTCGAGTGGCCCAATGAAAGGTTAATAACACTCCACAAAGAAATGCGCCGTCAACGAACGCGGCTCGTTCAGCAGTGCCACGAAATGCAGCAATTGATTTGTTGAAACATTTCTGTTTATATTATTCATTTTATTTATATTGTTTAAAAAACAATTATTCTGAGCAAATTGCATATGGCAAGGGGCCGACGCACACATAGATCCAGCTAATGTCCATTACGTAATTGCATTTGATGGGGCGACGTGCATCTAACGAGCTAGTAAAGCAATTAACGCGTATCTATGGGCATGGGCGTGTGTCTGCGTGTGTGCGTGTGCATGGGTGTGTGTGTGTGTGTGGGCGTGGCTTAACTGGAATCAATAAAAAGCTATGCACGCTGTCGTTCCGTTAGTCCGAGCGGAAATTGCAAAATAAATTGTTACTTTTCTAATACCCTGCATAAATGGGGTATATGCGCTGTTCAGGGAAAGTATGTAAGAGTCAGTTCGGTTGCTGCTTTTGCTACTGGTTCAACTGAACTTGTTCAGTAACTTAACTGCTGAACTTTTTCAGTAATCACTAACTTCTTCTATTGAACTGTTTAGCTGTTCATCTGAGCCATACCATTCTGTGGAGTTAGGCAGTTGTTCAGATGCTCAGTTAATCAATTGATTCAAGTTG